TGTGTGTGTGTGTGTGTGTGTGTGTGTGTGTGTGTGTGTGTGTGTGTGTGTTTATCTTGTTTAAAATTTCATCTCCATTCTTTCATCTTACTTTAGGATTCTGGGGAGTACCTGTCTCACCCTCATAGATACACCCCTGGCTCTCAGATACTCTACTGCCTCAAGAGGAGACCTCCACATAGCACAACTGACAAGCTAACACAGCAGTCCAAGACTTGACATCACAACAGGGTCACAGCTTCCTGGATTCTGCCGATCTTTCAGCTTCCCTTTCTATATCACCATAAGCACGCACCCTCGACTTTACCGTAGGAAAGCTGTTTCTCAGCTTTCTCACTAGACCATCCCTTCCAGGCCAGGAACTGCACATATTATCTCCTCTTCCACAGAAGGCCATTTTGTCACCTTGTCATCCCAGTCCACACCTACTCTTCCAGACTCAGCTCAAACAATAACTCTCTGAAAACACTTCCCTGAAACCTTCAAGAACAGCTTCTCACTCACCCTTGTCCCTGCAGCCCTCAGTGCACCCTGTTGTTACAGCTCTTAGCACACAATGTCATCACTGTTTGCAGGCACTTGCCACTGCTCTCCCGTGATTGCAATAACTTGAAACAGATATTTTTGTCCCTTTCCTCTGTGTGCATCATCAACCCACAATCCGGCATCCCTGCCCGCCTTTGAATTTTCCAGTGGTTTCCTACTCATTTGCAGAAGCAAGCGCAATTACAATAGCATGACAGGTCTCTGCTTTGGTAGTTAGCTTCTTCTCTGGCTTCACCCCTACCTTCCCTGTATGTTTATGTTTATATCCCGGCTAGACCTGCCATCTCCCTCACTTCCTTGACAACCACATTTCTTTGAGTCCTCCGAGCTTTTTATGTACTGCATTCTTCTACTGAAATGCTCTTACCCAAGACTTCTTTTTCAAGACATCCTATGCACTGCCTATATTTCAGTTCTAATTCTTCTTTATTGCCTCCTATTGCTGCCATGTGGAATTAAGTGTTATCGCTTCTGAGTACTCATTTTATTTATTTATATTATTACAGGAAGCCTTATCACTGTGCCATGTTTTTTTGTTTCCACTACCTATCACAGAGGCTGACCCAGAGGAGGTAGGTTAGAAGATGCTTTTGTTGGTCTGATTGATGCATCCAGTCCAATTAAGCAGGCATTTACACACATGTATTATAGGCAAAATCCTTTAGTAGGCACTTTGAAAAAATAATTAGGGCTGCTCCGCCCCTGAGCCACTTATAGTTTAGTTAATAGCAGTAGACAGTTGATGCATTACAGGGGCTTGCAATTTAAAGAAACAAATCATTTTATGCTGTAAAGCAACTAACTCATCATCAGGAGTCTTCTCCAATAAGACTTTAGTGAAGTAAGACACGCCTGCTTTGATACAGCCTAGATCGCGTGTCTGTTCTATAAAATGTTTTGAGGATCAAGTGAGAGGGAGATACTGTCACCTGCATTCCCACTTCAGGGAAAAGGAAACATTTACAGGTCAATGATTAAGAACCCCACTGACTCTTCAGAAAAAAAAATAGGAAGAAAAATTCAAATGTTAAAGATTGGGAAGCCTACAGACACTGGAAACAGAATGAAAACGCCTTCTTTCTTGCAGTTTCTGGGAAGAATGAGTTCTGTGTGAAGAGAATTTGAATAGAGGTAGAACTCAGCCAAAATGTGTATGTTCTAAAAACTACTGGTTAGGTATTAGTCAGAAACGCTACTGAATTCTGTCCACACAAAGTGGACACTGTTGATGCCATTCATATACACTTCACAGGTTCTCACGGGCAGTCTGTTCAATATATCCCAAGATGGGGTTCTATAAAAGCTGTAGACTACATTGGGAAATATCTGCAAGCAGTGATGGTGATTTCATATACTTCATTAGTTGCCAAAATAAATAAAGGATGTAATCCTCACAGAAGCCATATGTATGAGTTACTAGTAAGTCATTCAATCTGTGCGAGAAGGGATGCTCGGAGGAGCTGTGTCCTTATGCAACACCACACAGCAAGTAGATGCTGAGGTTCATTGGTGTTCAGCTGTAGAGCTCCCTCAGGGGTAATGGCAACACCAGCAGGAGTGGACAGTGGTGCCTACAGCACCGAGAATCATCTCTGAGGTCAAGAAGGATGAGTCTGCTGCAATATATGCAGCAACTGCACAGAAGCACAGCTAAGCCAATGCAAAGAACAAATCAGTTTCCTTAACTTGTGCCAGGAGAAATGAGGGGTCTGGAGGCTTAGGTCTCAAAATTCTACTGAGTAAAGACTTAAAGGTCAAAGAAAACTCCTAGATAATTCCTTACTGGCTGTGCCCTGTTATCCCAGCTCAATTCCAAGACCAATGCAGCTGAATTGATGAGGAGTACACCAATTATTAATTTAACAAACTTCACCCACTTTATTTGTCTCTCTGAATAGCAAAACATGACTGCCGTGTCTTCCAGAAGGAATTGAGAGTCTTCTGACCAAGAAACAGCCTTTCAAACAACTTGGAAACTTGTTTGAGAGTGCCATTATCTGGGAGAGATGATTCTCACACTCACTGGACTCTAGGCTCTTCCTTCTTCCTGGGAGCAAGCACCCGCTGCAATCCAAGCCTTCTTCCCGGTGATACTGGCTCCAGTGCACAGAGCCCTCTGTGGTCCCTGCCTTGCCCTCCTGCACCAAGCTCCTACCCTCTCTATCATTCCTACCTCGACTGCGTCTCCGGCTCCGAGAGGGGTCAGTATAAAATGTCAGCTGCGGGTCATTTTCTGCCTCAGTGCCAGAGTCCCCCTCAGGGTTCAAGAAGGCGGAACCAGCTGAAATGGATAGAGAATCAGAATAGACATTTTCTCTTTTTGCAATGCAGAGTCAGAGGGTGAGGCCTAATTGGAAAGTCAATAAAAGTGAGAATGGTCGATGGACAATCTGGGAGAGGCAGCTGAGGAGCCAGGGCTGCTCAGTGTCTAGGTTTGTTGGAGAAGCAGGCAGTTATCAGAGCAATTGATGGCACTCCAGTCTCCACACAGAACATGGCTCTATGATGAGGGACTCGTCTGACATCTGCTTGTCAAAGAGGACTTGGACAGGTCAGGAGTGGAGAAGAAAAGAAGGGAAATGTTCCATTCAGGTTACCAGGAGACCAGAATTACATCAGAGTAGTAAAGACATTTTTACCTCTGAGTTTTCACTTATTCCATAATATGATAGCCATGTGAGCAGGGAATGTTCCTTCAAGCCCTCTAAATCATATACAAATACTTTGATCACTTGATAAGTATATACCCATATATTCTCTGCCTTTTTCTGATGCAGAAACAGGTAAAGAGCTTTTAATCTCCCTTTGAAATGGAATTGCGCCATATCTTCATTATAATCTCATTTTCCCCATTGAGTAGATGGGTGGGCAACTTTCCATATTAACAAATAAAGATCTATATGATCGTTTTAAATGACTGCATGCTAAGTCACTGGACATTAGGCAGATGTGCCAGATAGTTAACCAATTCCCTGTTGATGGACATCTAAACCTTTTCCAATTTTTGGCTTGTTTAAATGTGGTAAACAGTCATTTACACACATCTTTGCACACTTGTTCAATTACTTCCCAGGAACTACCCATGTTCATAAAGATGTTTAATCAAAAGATTTCCACTCTTAAATTTTGTGGCAAGTAGCTTTTATTTGGCCTCCAGAAGACTGTGCTTTTGTAGCTCCGTGTGACAGTATGTGTAGCTGGTTTAATGACCTTGCCTCTACCCACATTTTGGAACCTATCCGCGAGACTTAGAACTGGACATGGCTACCTCTTGCTTTGTTGTTGATCCTCTTTCTTTGGCTACTGGAGGTGTGGGAGAGCAGAGTGGCTTGCTGGTGGTTGGAATCCACGGGGCTCGTGGCTATGATATTATCTTTATACTTGTTCATCAGGGACAGCTTGGCATTGTCACTTCCTGTATAAGAAAAAGTCAAGACAAAGGGGGGAGAAAGCCTTAAGAGAACAGGCAAGACATAAAGAAAGTGAGAAAACCCATGTGAGCTGAGTCGATGGGCCCAGGGCCCTGACACAAGGAACATAGAAAGTGAGAGGCGGGCGGAAGCTAAGACACTCCTCTCTGTTTCTAGGGGCTCCAACTAAGAGAGGCGTGAAGTAAGAGGATTACAATTGGAAATCCAATTGAGTTAATTCCATACTGATAACGTCACTGCTTGCCAGCCTTTGGCTACATGTAGAATACAGGGTTTTTCTTCTGACCAGCACAGGGTTTTAGCAGAAATAGAGTCTATGCACCTTCAGACATAACGTGGCCTCTCTTTCACCACGGTCTTCACTGCTCCTTCATGACTGAACTCTAGCTACTGCACACATCCATCCGTGTGGTCTGTCTGCTCTCTAAAGGAGCTTAGATTTGAACCCCCAAGTACTGTATGTCTATTCCATGGCCTTGGTACTCTGCCCAGCGCTATGGGGAATATGATACATGTTGGAGACTCCTCCTTTCTAGTCTCAGACTTCAAAGTTCTCAGACATTGAAGTTCTCAGACTTTAAGTAATATTAAGAAATGATTATTGATACAGGTCATCTTCTAGATGCCAAGTAGAATTTCCACGTCCCACTATGTGATTTTAACCTTTGCCGCCTTTCCCAAAGTCTGTGCATCTTTAGTGGTATGCAGTATCAAATATCTCTTCCTCAAAGAGGAAGGTACTGGGCACTGCCTTGAAGGATCACTGTTGAGGCGTTCTCTTTCAAGATGTACTGACTCATAGCAGTTTGAAAGAGAGAGACGTGGGCTACCATAAAAGAACAGTCCCTCCCTCTCTGCATGTTTTTGACCCTGATCTTGTTCTGTTGGGTTAGGGCCAAGGCTCTTCTACCCACTGTCTCCCTAGATATGTCTACATCTCAGCTCTGATGCTTTGATTGTAGTCTTCCATTTTCTTTGAAAAAAAAAATGCAGCCTGTGTAGAGACCACAGAAGCAGGCGTAAAGTAATGTAGTTAGAAGATTCAAGGCCCCACATCTTCGAAGGCAGAGAGAAAAGCAAAATGAAACAAAAAATGGGTAGCTGAGGGTCCTCCATGTCACTAAAGAATTAAGTTGCCTGTGCAAATATGTGATATAAAAAGAAGTCAAGCCAGGTTAGTTTCCAAGGCCACTGCCTCCCTTTCTAGTGGGCTTCCCAGTTTACACCTAGAGGCTCTAGAACACTTCTACTACACCTAAAGGCATCTCTCTGCTCCCAGTACTGGGTGGGAGTAGAAGTGGATCCAACTTATGCTAATACTATACTTCTTATTTTATGAATTAGAAAGCCAGTACAGTTGTCCAAGAAAAAGGGGTGTTTTTTTTATTAAGTCTGAGAATTTCACAAATGTATACAATGTATTTCGATGAGACCCACCTCTCAGGTCCTGTTCTTATTCTTCCTATGTCCTCCCACATGCTTAACGTCTTCTTGATAGAATTTTTTATATCCCACTAAGTCCAGTTGGTGCTTGCCTACATGCATGTGGGTGTAAGATTGACCGCTGGAGCAAGACAACCTACCAGGATTCACACTCATGAAGAAAACTGGGCTCTTCTTCTCCCAGGAGCCATTAATTGCTAATAGCTTCTCCGTTGGGCTGGAGTCTATGCAAAAGGTTATTTTTGCCCAGTTGAGGAAAGACATCAGTACATTTTGCTATACGACATCTGTTAGCTGCTGCTTGCTGGCCTACCTGAGCAAGGACTAAATGAGCCGATCCCTTCTCCCATTCCTACCTGGTGTGAGGTCCATCCCAGACTTCTCATTGCAGCCCTGAAGGGAGTCCAAGGTGCGTGTGACCTGACTGGCAAAGTCCTCCCCTCCATTCATGCACTCCCTCTGCAGATGGTGACGCAGGTCTGTGATGTCATACTCATAGCCATCCAGGATGGGTGTCTCCCGGATGCTCAGGGTGCCACTGGAGTTGTGGCCCTGCACTCGGGCATTGCGCAAACTTTCTCGCCCGTGGCCGCCAATCAGCACAGATGGAATGTAGTGAATCTCATTGGCTGCCTCTGCACTGGCACTCTTCTGGGGCTGGGGGACCCGGCGACGTTTGCACCAGCGCCTGCGAGTATACAGGATCATCACCAGGCACAAGATGGACAGCAGCAGAGCGATCATGCCACCCTGGAAAGACAGGACATCAGATATTTGCACAAAGAAAGGTGAGCACTCTACAGTGTTATTTTTCCATCTGCTAACTCCGTTCATCACTCATTCATTAATTCAGGCAATCAAATGTACTGAGCACTTACAGTAAGCATCCCTCAGCGACAAAGGGACACTGCTGACACTGGCGTTTAACGAGGGAGAAGAAGGAAACTGTGTGGTTAGTGCATCATTTCAATGACTCTATTTGCTGGCCTAGCAAGTATTTGAGACAGAGGATGGAGACGATGGAGATTTTGGGTTTTCAGTTAGAGACGTGGGGGAAAAGGTTTTGGTTTTGTTTTTGTTAGTCTGGTTGATTTTGGGGGGGGGTATTTGTTTTGTTTTGTTGTTTTTGTAGATGTGCTACACATAAAGCTGATTTGGGGCTTTCTTTTTAGCGGCCAGCAGGGAATGGCATCGAGTTTCATCTCATATCCAAACAATCAATCTTAGATGGATCCTCACAATGAACCCATGAATCAATGATTCCTATCAATGCCAAAACTCAGATTCCTTGTCTGTACAAGGAAGCTGTCATAAAACTGCTCATGGTGGTTGCTAAGAATTGAGCGAAGAAATGATGTAAAGTGTGCCGCACAATACATCACACACCATCAGGACCGAGCTCAGAGTCTTAACTGTCTCCACCAAAATAACTGGCCTTGCAGGGAAAACATCGACACATCTACCTCCACCAGAGTTGAGCACCAGCTGAGGGAAGAAACCCTGCTGGGTTGCACATGACATGGGGTGGGGAGAAGGTAGGAACACAGTTTTGTTTGCTCCCATGGAGGAAAGGGCTGGTATTATATCCTAGAGTCAGGCTGGTGGAGGAGTTTCCTGATGAACCTTCCAAACTCCAGAGGCCACCACCTCAAAGGCCAGTCCTTACTATTCAGGACAGTACTAGCTGTCTCCTGGAGGTGAGGATACGGTGCTCAGTGCTCAGTGAGCTGAACAAACCTGTCAGGGCGACAAGCCCAAGCTGGGGTTTGGAGAGGGGAAGGGAACCTCCCAAGCTCTTTCCTCTACAGCACTCCACAGATATCAATCTCCTGGACCCAGTCACACTCACCCCTTTATATAGGTTACTATCTTTTCAAATATACTTCATTAAGTCAAGGTGTACCAAATGGTTCTCCCCCTGACCTTGACTCCAGTCATGGTCAACCTATTGTATATCAGAGAGCTAAAAGGTCCCTATCATTTTCCATGGGCCCACCCATGGGAAGATGTTTTAAGAATATTCCCCCAAACAAATTCAAATTTCCCCTTTTTTTCCAGTTTCACAATGATTTTTTTCTGGATTTATGAGTACAGTTTCCCAGCAAATCTTCCTGACTATCCTCAATTTCTCACCATCTGCCTACATATATGCATATAAGCACACACACATACACACTACTGTGTTCCAAAAGGCCACATAAGGAGGTAGCAAAACACACAGTAGAGTCAGTTGTTAAGTGACAGACCAAGAGATGAGGCTGGCTAAGGGCATAACTCTCCAAGGTTCAAGTTTTTCTTGCTTTATCTTGAGGATGCATTCTTCTGGTGCCGTCTCTCATGCAAATACAGAGAGAATCAACACACTCTAGTTGCACAGGGTAGATGCACAAAACCAAGGACTCGAGGTGCTCCTAACTGTTATCTCCTCTGCACTCCATACCGTATGACTCTCAGACACAGAGCAGAACCCTGCCTAGAGGATACTGTACCCAGCTGTATAGACCCAAGCCCTGAAGCAACCCACTGACAGTAAGCATCTCTGTATGACCCAGTAGTTCTCATCAGAGCCGTCAATCATCTGCCTGGCACAGTCAGATGGGCTAGCCTCTCTCTCACCCCAAACTGAAGCTGTAACAATAGGTAATTAAGCCACACGGAAGGAATAACTTCCCGACCGAGAGAAGTTGTCAGACATTGAATTAGGCCACTGAAAGCCAGAGGTAATTTTATTCCCTAAAGAGCTGTAAGAGCGACATAAACATCAATCCCCGAGGAATGGTTTTAACACCCACCATCTTTCTCGCTTACACACGATTCCTTCGGAGCCCCTCCACCCTTTCTTACTAATTATGCATACAGATGGTCACAACAGGGTTACAGTAAAATCCAGCCCATAGATTCATTGCCCATATCACACAATAATAAAACAATAGCAGCTGTTCATTAATGGGTGTTTGCTGGGTATCAGACAGTTGTTCAAAAAACTCCACAGTTTTATCTCTAAGAGGTAGAGTTTCCTGACAGTTGTTTGAAAATAAAAAGGAGGCATGAAGGTCAAATAACTTGTTCAAGGTCATGTAATGTGTGGTTAGAAGGACTGGGATGGAACCCCAATGACTAATTCAGAGCCTATGTTCTTTGTATGGGGGAGCAGGATGTGTGCACGGCGGCCATGCATGTGCAGAGGCCAGAAGTCAATGTTGGGTGTCTTCCGTTTTTGGTAGTCACCTTATTTTTGAGATAGGCTCTGTCATTGAACCTGAAGCTCCTGTTTCTGCTACCTGTTGGGCCAGCTAACCCGCAGGATGCTTCTATCTTAGCCCTGCCCTGTGCTGGGCCGGGTCACAGAATCTCACCATAGAGAACCATAGTGCCTGAATTTTTGGTGGGTGCCAGGGATGAATTCAGGTCTTCATTCTTGTGCAGCAAGCTCTTTGTCTTGCGAGCTATCTCGATGGAGTACATCATCCCAGACTGCAGCCCCAGAGCTGATAGATCACCAGGCTGCAGTCACCATGGTGAGCCGTGCCCATAGACACTTAAGCTCTCTTACTTTCACAAGTTCAAAGGATGGAACGGGAACAAGTGGATGCCTGTATCTAGATCCATCCTCACTTCACAAACTAAAAACAAGAAACTAGCCCAAGTCTAGCTGACCAGAGGTCTGAAGAGCATTGTTACAAGGGCCTGTTTCCCAAGTAACTACTAAGAACCCAGATATAAGACTATTGGGTTTGTCAGAAGCACAACAACAACAAACCCACAGCCCTCACACACTCTATACGATTATTTAAATAATAAATGAATTTAAATAAGATTATTCATAGCACCTATCACTATATGCCTGAAAGGTGCTGTTAGATTCTCAAGTTTAACTGAATTTTAACAAAGAAATATATGTTGTCTTTTAGTTTAGTGACCCATTGAAAATCTCTAGGTTCGACCCATTCATCTGATGAGCAAGGCAAGGTCCAGAGAAGCGAAAACATTGGTGGAGCTGAGTGGGTGACAACAGATCCTCTAATTGCTCTTTTCACGAGGTCATTAAACACGAAAATTTCTTAGGTTCGTGTATAATAATTAACTTCCCGTATACTAGAGTCCAGATACTCAACCAAAGGTATCTTAGGTCTATTTCTCTAAAACATATAACCTGTAGAAAGCCAGGAACAAGGATTTAATTTGTCTAAATCTATTTATGTCTCTAGTCTTGCTTCAGTAGGCCGTTACCTCTGTGAAGACGTAGTGACTCCTGATGACCTCTCTAGTAACCGGTTACCAGTGATAAGCTCCAGCCATCAGGGGCAATTTGTTCCAAGTATAGGGGAGCAGATTCTCAGGCCTTGAGTTCTTCTATGATTTCTTTGCTCCCATAACCCACAATTGGTGACAAGTATTATAACACTTTGCTGTGACTTACTAACTAATTGTAGATTATCATGTAAACAATAATATGCAAGATGTAATATCATGTAGTATTTGTATGTAGTGTTACATAATAAAATTTTGTGACAATAATAACAAGGTCACTATGCATAAATTCGTCTGAAGTCCTTACATGCTCTATTCAATGGTCAGCTACCAAGTAAAAGTATGAAGCCCCTTTATAATAAAAAGAACTGATTGTTGTATTAGATTAAGGCATATGTCTAGAAAGCTAAGTAAACTGTCTTTCCACAATGAGAACTTGGAAGTCCACTGGTCTATTCAGTTGCATTATATTCCCATATAAGTCCAGTTCATTGGAATATCTGTTAATTTTAACTCTCCTACCTACATGGAAAAGTTTACACCTGAAGTCACAGATGTCTTAGGATATTTATTTCAAAGATTCTCAAAAAGGTGGCGTATAAAAATGACTCAAACCTTAGGTCAAGGACATCCAAGGATTTTCTGCTAATCAAATGAGGGAGAAAGACAAGATGAAGGTTATTATCTTCCTGCAAATGGAAGTATTTTGTGTCGAACAAACTCCCTCTGACATTTGAGTCTAGATAGACCTCTACCTACAGTCTGGGCAAGAACACACTCTCCAACCTGGTTTCAGGGAAAGCCAGATTCAGGGAAAGTACAGGAGTTTGAAAGGGAAGCCTTGGCTAGCTTTGTGTTTCTGGACTCAGTCGCTCTGCTCAAAATGTATTTGTGTTCGCTTCAGATTTTATGGCATTGAAAATCCAAAACAAAACCTTAGGATGCATCTGTATTCAGTCAATGAGCAATAAGTTGCAGACTTTGAGCACTGAAAATAAGTAACAACCGACTTCATGGTATAGCATTGTTTTGCACTTTATTATCTTTCCATGAGGCTTCTGAGTATTTGATTGATTTTTCTCAGAATGGTTGTTTGTAAATATAATCATACTGGAACTATATGTGGACTCTGTATCTATTCACAAACACCTTGCAAATAAGTGACATTTTAAAGCATATTTTTCTTTTAAAAATCAATAAATCATTTCTACTGGATTTAATAGAGATCAAACAAATGAAAAAAAACCTTTATTCTATTATAAAATTGACATTTGTGGCACTCACCTGAGAGAGAAATGTGAAGTTTGTCAAATAATTTTTATATTTTATAATTTTTATGTAACAGTGTTTTCTATAATATTGATGGTAATTACCCAAGATCAGAAAAACTTTACTCAGCTCTCCATATTGAGTCCGTCCTAACTCTCTACTTCAACCACAAGACCCCCTCTGTATTCACCTAGGTCTTGGCTCCTGCCCCCCATCTCAGTTGACTCTTC